TACTCCACTGGCAGAGTCCTGGAGGGCTTTAGTCCGGATGAGGAAAATAAAAGAGTTGCATTGAGGCCGGGTGGGTTCTTCAGTTCAGGAGATCTATTTCATCAAAAGGCTGGCTTGGGTGACGTATGAGATGTTTCTGGCTATCTTTAAGGATTTAGAATAAACTTAAAATCTGAGGGAGAGAACTCTAGAAAGTGTTCAAAGGAGTGTGGCTGAAACTAAGGTCCCAAACCAGAGGTTTGTCTAAAACTACACTGTGTTCAGGACCTGCAGTCCCTTGTGGCATTGGTGTCTGTGGTCGAGTGTAGCTCTGGCAGCTACTGTACCATGACACAGAGAACCACCAGAAGGGACAGGGAGTGTTCCACACCTCCACCCTGCCCCCTTCCATATGCCTACTAGCGGTGAAACTGGTGAGTCTCCATTTCTCCACTCAGAGCGTTGTGATAGACACCGTAATACTCTGCCAGCTTTGGTTTTGATTCTGGTTTCTCCCCTGTGCTCTTGAGAACGCTCTTGGCCCTGATCTCTAAACCAAGGTAAGGCTTCCCACACTGCTGCCAAGTTCTGCCATATACTCATTTGCAAATAATTAAAATCTACTGCAAAGTGTATTATTCTACTAACAACAATAATGGTTATTAATCACTACTCATATCTTGTAGATGTAATTAACATGCTAATAGACAGGGTAAGTTTGATCCTGAGAGAAGCAATGCTTCTTTGATTTTTGGTGACTGCTCTTCTTTCTCTTTTGTGAGATAGAAGCAGAACCAGCCTGTTTGGCCAAACTAATATATAACCACCAAACAGTGTAAAAATATCTGGATTCTAGATTAAAAATTGGTTTTGCTACTACTCATTTTAAATGTCACTTACTTATATGCCACTTACTTATTCCACTAATTCAATTGAAAAGACTGAAATAACCTCAGTTAAAATTTCTCTCTTGCTCCAATTCCTTAGTTAACATTACTTCTGTTTACATTGTCATGATATAATAGTTTAATAGGCTCCTTCAGTGTCTTCACTCATTGCCTGAGTTAGAATTTCAGACATTGCAGAAGGATATTGAGATGCTCTAGTGTCCCTAGTATGTCTCAAACCATACCATAGGTGCCAACTACTTAACTTATTGATTCAACCATTTAAAATGGAGTATTGATTACATGGCAACCACAGGCCTCGAGGATACCACACAGACCAGTCTCTGTTCTTATGGAGCTTACATTCTAGTGGGAGGAAATAGACGATAAGCAAGTAAATAAATGAATAATTTCTGAGTGATAAAAGCTGTCTTAGTCAGTTCAGGCTTCTATAACAAAATACCACAGACTAGGTAGCTTATAAACAGCAGAAATTTATTGCTCACAGTTCTCGAGGCTGGGAAGTCTGAGATCAAGGTGCCAGCATGGTCGATTGAAGGTTCTCTTCCAGGTTGCAGACTTTTTGTTGTATCCTCACACAGTGGAAGGAGGCTAACACACTCTCTTGGCCATCTTTTATAAAGGCACTAATTCCATTCATGAGGACTTCACTGTTAGGACCTGAGCACCTCCCAAAGGCCCCACCTCCTAATACCATTAGGGCATTAGCATTTCAAAATATGAATTTTGAGGGAATGCAAACTTTCAGACTGTAACATATGTTATTACAGAATTTTAAAACAAGAATGAGAAAGAGAGCAATCAGGGTTGAACTGGCAAAAGTTGTCCACTTCAAAGTGTAACATATAATGCTGACTCTTAAAGAGATTGTATCAGTCACCACTTTCTCCAAAAATTAAGAGTGCTATTTGTCCATACCCAAATTAACACTGTACTATTATACTTCGTAAAGTCTTTGCCAATCTGAGTAGTGTAAAAATGGTATCTCATTGTCACTTTAATCACAATTTCTCTTATTTTGAGAAAATGAGCCATTCATAGTTTTTCCTGCCTGTGATTTTTGTCCACATTTTTTTCCATGTTAGATTTGAGTTGTTTTGAATTTATTTGCTTAAGCGCTTTTTACACATTGCATAAGGAGAATTAGTATTTTGTCACATATTCCAAATGTGTTTTTCTGACTTGTGTTTTGACTTGTCCATGGTATTGTTTCCATGCAAGAAGCAAGCTGCTTCTTTTTGTTTGTTTCTAAATATTTGGAAAATAAGTGAGACTTAGGTCCCCTGTAGCAGACTCTAAGATGAGGTTTTATGGGCAAGTGATTTATTAATGAAGTTTTCTCAGGAAAAAACTCTTAAGAGAATGAAAGAAGAATAAAAAAGTGGTCAAAGCAGAAGAAAGGGGTTGAAGCCAAGGAAGCCTACAATTTCAGGTAAAGTCCTGAGGAGGGCAGCACTAGCCTGATCAGACAGGGGATCCCCTTAAGGGCTGTGGGGAAACAAAACCACATTGACTGGGCAGGAGGGAGGAGGAGAAGCACACAGAATTGGGGGAGGGAATGCAGGACATACAATAAAAGGGACCTTGGGGGATCTGTGTGGGCACTGCCAGTGTTTGTTAACAATGCATCAGTCAAGGGTCAATGGAAGGAAAGAATACAGAAGTTCAAACCCAGCATTTTATTTCAATGTGGAAGTCTCATTATTTACTTGTGATTAATTATTAAACCAAGTAAGAGAAGGAATCCACCCAGTCAGGACAATTTAGTCCGCCCTGACCTAGTCACTAATGATTACTCATGTATAATTTGTTTTCACCTCTCCCTCACCTCTTCCTGGATTTCCAGTGAGGCCTGATGGTGCCAAAGTTATTGGGAAAGTCAGTTTTCAATAAGTTGAAGGCCAAGTAAGTAACTGCAGGTGTAGATCTTGGGGGTCTATGAAAAGACGTAATGGATTGAAAAGAGGATACTTGGTCTTGGCTAAGGAACACAGAATTTAGTCTTGTCTCATTACTAATAAAGGATATCTTTGCTATATTTCTGGAGTGACTGGAAAATAGCCCCTGATATTGACTCCCATTAACATCTCAGACTATTTTCTTCTTGGAAGATGCACAGGCTTCACTAAAAATAAATGTTTTTCTTAATCTTCTTATGAAATAAAATTTTATCTTATGAGGTAAGGATCAGGCTGAGAGCGTTTGAAAGAATCTTATACCTCTTTCAGTGACAAACACTTCTCTGGCACAGAGCGATATCAGTTTAGGGCTGCCCTCTCCCAACTGTCACCCCCAGGCATGCCCATGTGTATGCATGTAGATTAGTGGTTCTCTAGAGTTGTGGGGAGGATTGGGGGAAAATGGACAAGGACTGCTAACGGGTTTGGAGTGTTTTGGTAGGGTGATGAAAATAAAGCAAAAAAGACTGTCAAATGATAAGCAGGACAAGCAGAGAAAAAAATGTCCACTTGGACACAAGTCCAAAACTATAGAACTCCAAAACTAGACACAACATCTTAAACTGGGCCAGACAGAGAAGATAGGTTACTTACAAAGGTAGGCAACAGATAGAAAGCAGTTTTCTCGATAAAAGCAATAGAAAACTGTGATCTACAAAATCCTAAGGGAAAATAACTATCAATCTATGCTTTTACACCGATCAAAACTGTCCATGTTAAGGGTAAAATTAAGAAGTTATTTAATTAAAAACACAGAGAATTCTTCCCCAGTAGACTTTCACTAATGGAACTCTAAAAGATGAAGTTCAGTAAGAAGGAAAGTGATGCTAGACAGAAGTTTGACATATATATATAAAATGTAAAATAAAGGAATAAAAGGAAATATGTAGGTAAATCTAAACAATGTTTCTATACAATGAAAATAATAATGATGTTTAATTTGGGAAATTAAATGAAAAGAAGTCAAATATTGGACAGAAATTCAATTTACCTCGAAGGAGGGTAAGAAAGAAAGGAAGGGAGGAAGGGAGGAAGAGAGAGAAAGAGAGGAACAGGGAAAGAAAGAAAGAGGGGGGTGAGGGAGGGAGGGAGGGAGAGAGAGAGAGAGAGAGACAGAGAGAGAAAGGAAGGAAGGAAGGAGGGAGGAAAGGAAAGAAGGAAGAAAGGAAGGAAAGAAGAAAGAAAGGAAGGAAAGAAAAAGAGAAAGGAAAGGAAGAAGAAAGAAAGCAGAAGAGGGAGGGAGGAAGGAAGGAGAGGCAAGCATCCCCATATTATGGCTCTCAAAACTCCTGAGATTAATCTAGTTGTTTCTATGGACACTGCTTAGGATGTAAAGTGGAACTCCAATTAACGTTCTTTAAAAGATCACATTACTTTTTCTTTTCCTGTTATGTATTTTAATTTTTTTCACTAGGAATGCACATTGTAGTCAGTTGGGGAGATTTTCAAAATACACATCAGCTTGAGACTTCTCACTCCACAGTGGGTGGCAGGAGCAGGAGTGTTTGTTTGGGGATGGCTCCTCAAATGATTTTAATATGCATCTCTGGCTAGGAAACACTGAATTACTATTCTCTGTTTTAACAAACATTTTCAAGGCCTCCTGTGTGCCTGGTCTGAGCTTGGCCCAAGAATAAAATGGTGAGCAAGATGACTATTTAGAAAGTCGTTAAAATTGAAATCAGTAAACACCCCTAGGTGAAAGAGTGTAGTGCTCTGGTACACTTAGGTGTACCCAGTGCAACGGATTATACATTAGAAATACAACATTTACCATCTATTTTGGCCTCACACGAGAATCGTAAGTTACTTTTGCTTAGCAATAAATATGTAGAAAATTACTTCTCTCAGTATCTTAATAAAATAGAACACATTAAGTGGTCTCAAAGATGACCTGAGACTTTTCTTTCCAGACAGAGAGAACAGAGTACCCTCTTCTAAGTTTTCACAAAGTGATGCTTAAAGTGAAAAATTGATGGTTCCTGGGCCCACACAGAGGAACAAAGTATCAAGTTCATAAACAAATGTTCAGAAACGTTAAAAATTTTCCAAGTTCTTAAGATTAGCATGAAAGACAAAGGAAGCAGAAAGTTTACATATTTAGTTCCCTGATAGAAACAAAAAGCATAATACAGAAATGCACTTTAACATGATATTTATTTTTCCCATTATTAAATTTTATTTTATAATTTTAAATTATAATAACATAGAGCTACTGCTCAAGGTTTAGAATAAGTAAACATCTAAAACAATTGCTAGCACTATTACTTTATATTTCATGCACATGGCTTAGTAATGGCTTCTTCTGGTTCCCTTTCCTTGACGAGATTGTCATTTCCTTTTGCTTGGTTGGTCAATCATTTACAGCTTTTGTATTTGTACCCCTTAGAATTCCATACCCAACAGACACTTGAGAAACTTTAGATTAATTTAGCCATCTCCAGAAAGTCTTTCTAAATTGTGATTAGAAATAAATTTCCAATGTATAAGATCATGAGTTTCCCTCAATCTGATTGGACACAAGTCAAAATAAAGTCTAAACAAGACAACTGTATTTTAGACAACTTTTGACATCAGCATATGAGAACTTCCTCATTCTTTTTTAAAACCGAACGCTATCCCATTGTACAGATGTACTACAGTTCATTTAACAAGCCTCATATTGAGATACATATGGATTTTTTTCTCCCTCCTCTTTTTTTTTTTTTTGCAAATTGTTTGTTGACAAAACCCGGTTATTTGTCCCATAGAGTTCCCCAGGATCTGGATTTTGGCTATTATATCCCTGACATGTTATTCTGCATTTTCTTTTGTTCTTTATGTTTCCTGTGCATTGGTATAGGCCTGATCAGATTTCAGTTCAATTTCTGGAAAGGTTTATTCTTAAACTGGTGTTACATACTTCATTTAGGTGGTACGTAATATCTGATTTTATCTCTTTTTGTGATGTTAGCGGCCCTTGAGGATCAGGGCCTAGGCCCATTTATTCATTGGGAATTGCAAAATGGTCGTGTTCCATCATACGTTCTTCCTTCATTGGTTTGAATGAGAAGAAACTTCCCCTCCTCCACTACTTGGTTACCTTGAGGCACAGTTCACACAGGAAACGTATAACACATGGTTGATTCTTTCCCTTTATTTACCAGTTTTCAGAGTAATGAGTTAATTCCTTAACATCTTCAAAGGTGGTTAACAAAGGTTTTTCTCTAGCATAGTTTTGACCTCATGGATTTAAATATATTTGATGCATTTCAATCCATTGCAGTTATTTCTTTAGTGATTCTCGAATCTTCCCTTCTTTGGCAGTGGGAGACTCTTTAAGTTGGTGCGAGAGCACTTTTGATACAATCCTAGGGATCCTCGATAGTATCCTGGCTTTATAGTATAGTAAGATATTCCAGACTCATCTTGTACATTTCCTGTCTTAGACCTGGAATCAGACATTTTCCTAAGAGGCTCGGTTTCTTTTATGGGTAAATGATATTTAGATATTTAGAGTAGGAGAGTTAAAGGTACATTGTTAGTAGATCCGTTAACAGTTTTTCTTCCATGGGGTGAAAAGAAGCACTGACTGCCTGATACCAGGATCACTATACTTGTGGGTTACGCTTTTCTGTAAATTAGTAAAAAGAAATTTGGTACAAAACAAGTCTCCTGTATGTTCTGCTGAGATCTAATCAACAGATAATTAGTTTAAGTTTCAAGAGAAAAGGATTCAAAGCCTAGGTACTTCTGTGTGATAGTGAGTAAAATAATTTACTACTCCGAGTCATACATAATTTCTTCTACTTCAAAACAGAGATAATATTACCTACCACAGCTTTTATGGAGACCAATATTGAAAGCACTTGATAATGACAGCTGACATTTGCTAGGGGTTTTTTACGTGCCAGGTCTTATGCTAAGTATGTTACCTACTTGATATCATTAAATCTGTGTAAAAGGACAAAGGACCCCATTATTATCTCCTTTTCATAAAAGAGAACACTGAAGATTAGAGAGGCTGAGTGCTTGCTGTTTCCATGAAAGAAAGTCAGGAAGATCGTAAGAAGCTGCGCTCATTAAGCAGTTTAGGAGGTAGATGTCCTATCCGGGAGCAGCGCGCCACATCAAGTCCTCAGAGAATCTGTAGCTGGAATATCTGCAGGTTGACTGAACAGAACCAGGAGCAGTAGCCCAACTTCATAAAAAAACCCATCAAATTCGTGGTCAAAAGCTGAACGAATATATTTGGATCCTGTTACAATCAGAGCTATGGTGGAAAGAAAACGGCAACTGAGAGTCCAGACTGGGCTCTTTCACAAACTGGCTCTTTGACTTTGCCAAGTGATTTATTCTCTTCAGGCCTCAGCTCTTCAGACGAGTTAAACTATGTGATTTCAGAGGCTGGTGTGCTAGGATAAGAATAGAATAGTAATGCTTGAGAATGACTTTGCAATAACTCACTATTAGTGTGCAGAGTTAAAAAAAAAACCCTTATAAGAAATTTATAGCTTCTACCAATTCAGGCTTTTGAATCATTCATTGATTTATTCATTCAGAATACTTATTGAGCACCTACTGTGTGCCAGGCACTGTAGCAAGGAGTGTTCTAGCAGTGAACAAAATGAAGTCTTCATTTTCCTAGTTTATGTCCCAGTGAGGAAAGGCAGAAAATAAACAAATATGTAATATATGCTTTGTCAGATGGTGATAAATGCTCAGACTAAAGAATAAAGAAGGGAAGTCAATGGTGAAGGAAGGATCCAGCCCCAGTGCCTTCTTTGCTCTCCCTCAAACCCACGAGGCCCACTACTAAATGTGCACCAGCTGAGTCATTCGCCCAGAAGACCCTTTCCCCAAGTATCCTCATGGCGAACTCTCACATTCAAACAGCATCTGCTCAATGAGGCCCAACACATGGAAAGCCCAACCTCCCCGACTCTGCTCTCTATTTTCTTTCCCATAGAGCTAACATATGACATAAATTGCTCATTTGTATGTTTAATGTCTGACTCCCTCAGCTGGAATGTAAGTTCCAAGAAGGCAAGGCTCTTTGTTTTGTTCAAGAACATGTATCAGGGGCCATCCTGGTGGTAAGTGGTTAAGTTTACGCATTCTGCTTCAGCGGCCTGGGGTTCGCCAGTTCAGATCCCAGATGTGGACCTACAGACGGCTTATCAAGCCATGCTGTGGCAGGTGTCCTACATATAAAATAGAGGCAGATGGGCATGGATGTTAGCTCAGGGCCAATCTTCCTCAGCAAAAAGAAGAGGATTAGTGGCAGATGTTAGCTCAGGGCTAATCTTCCTCAAAAAAAAGAAAAGAATGTATATCAAAGCCTAGAACAATGCCCGAGAAGAAACAATGCTTAATAAATTGATTAATCTACAAACTGATTAATAAGTGAATGACTGAATTAGGAGGGTGATCTGGAAAGCCTTCTCTGATGACGTGACTAAATAGTAAAAGCCTCACATTTAAAGATCAAAACTTAAGGAAAAGTGCTAATTAAATTGGCTTTATCTAGTTGATAGACTATTATGTGATCTTAAAATGATATTTAAATGATATTTATGAAGCTTATGAAATCGCATGAAAACTACTTACATGGTTAAGTGAAAAATGGAGGATACAAAAGTATGCCTATATTATTATTACAACCACTTAAAAAAAAGTCTTTAGAAGAAATGTGAGAAATAAATATACCAAAAGTTACCAGTACATGTTATAGTGATTATTGATGATCTCCCTTATTATTTTTCCGATTTTAGAAATTTTCTATAATGTGATTGTATCATCTTTCATGTGAAAATAAATTTAGTTCTTAAAAAGGTAATCTATGTAATGCTACCTCTCATTCAGGGTACCATAAAGACTTTCTGTTTTATTTGTATTTTACATTTAGAAATTACATCTTAACAATGTCAGTAACCTCTGACAAGCAGGGACCCAGAGTTGAAAAGAGCAAATGTTTCATAGAAAGACAAAAGAAGTGGAGGAGGTTGAATCAACTCTCATGCCTTCTATAATAGCATCGTCTATCTTGAGTTTACCTTCCAAGTAGACTGTCTCCAGGGGAAGGAAATCCTATCAACCGAACGTGCCTCTTTAGAGAACACAAGGCACAAGTGACTATCAATAGAACATAACATCAGAAAGAGAAAAGCGGGCGCTGGCCCAGTGGCACAGTGGTTAAGTGTGCACATTCTGCTTCGGCAGCCCAGGGTTTGCTGGTTCGGATCCCGGGTGTGGACATGGCACCAATTGGCACGCCATGCTGTGGTAGGTGTCACACATATAAAGTAGAGGAAGATGGGCACGGATGTTAGCTCAGGGCCAGTCTTCCTCAGCAAAAAGAAGAAGATTGGCAGCAGTTAGCTCAGGGCTAATCTTCCTCAAAAAAGAAAAAAAGAAAGAGGGAAGTTTTCTCTTAAGTGTTTCCACTAATTTGCTGATCAAGGGAAGATAGCTGAAGATTAGCAACATGTATTAAAAACCAAAGTATGCATGGGATGTGTTATTCCATTTACTCCTTAGAATAATTCACTGAGGAAGGAACTATATTACCAAGTTTCAGACGAAAAAATGGAGAATATAAATAACTTGCCAAGAGTCACACAACCAGATGGATAGTAAAACCATAATTCAAATTAGATTCAAACTGACTCTAAAACTGCTACTCAAAACTCCTATTTAAGGGTCAAAATATCGACTATTTCTTGACAGACCCCTTTCCAAAAGTAGTTCTGGGTCCTTTAATGTCATTTATTAAATTTTTTTTTAGGAAGATCAGCCCTGAGCTAACATCTGCTGCCAATCCTCCTCTTTTTGCTGAGGAAGCCTGGCTCTGAGCTCACATCCATGCCCATCTTCCTCTACTTTATATGTGGGTTGCCTGCCACAGCAAGGCTTGATAAGCTGTGCCATGTCCACACCCAGGCTCCGAACTGGCAGACCCCGGGCTGCCAAAGCAGAACATGCGAACTTAACCACTATGCCACCTGGCTGGTCCCTATTCAATATTTTTTTAGTAATGATTTTTGCTTGCAGAACACATCCATCACATTTTTTATTAACATGGCTCCAGTTTCCAGATCTAGACCAACGTGGGACTAGCGAGCATAAATACTATATGAAGCCCTTCACAGTGTTTAAATTGCCAGCCTGTAAGGGAAGAACTCGTGGCAGGTGAAAGAGTCGCCATATTGGAACAGATGCTTTGGCAATGGGTTGCCTACATCTCCCCTCCCGTTATCTCCTGCGCCCTCATGAGCAGTCGCCTCAGGAACTGGTTCCGCGCTCAGTGAGCCCAAGCAGGGAGCAGAAGCCTAACCTGGCCCTAAGGCTGGAACAGGAACTCTGCATTGGGCCCTCTTCAGGGAACTAGGCGATCGAGTCACACTCTGAGGTGACTCTGTCTGTTGAATCAGATAATTACTTAATAATCTGTCCTTAAGTAAATTGATAGCTAGAAAACCAGTCTTTGAAATCAATAATTTAATATTTACATGTATACTTTTACGGATATATGTTCATGTAAAGATTAAAATATATTAGCTCTGGTTTAAATACCACTTATACATTGCAGTAAGAAAGGAGAGGGCATTGATTTTACTCCTGGATCTGGTTTCTTAGTTAAATTGGAGCCAAATAAAATAATATGTTCCTGTTTATGTTAAGTGACCTATATAGCGTCTACTTATAATACCTCTCAATGGATTTCGTAAGGGAAAAAAATTGTCATAAGTTTCATCTCTTCCCTAAGTGACTAGAGGCCACATACTTCCCTTTAAACCCAATTATCTCACAACTGAATGCTCTGATAACCTGCTAAAAACAGAGGACATAGTGTTATTAGTGAGCCAGAAAAAGAGGGAAGCCCAGAGCAGCCATCAGCTGTCTTCATTTCTCTGCAATCGGCCCCTTCGTATCCCTGATAACACTGACAGGAAAATTTCTCTGCCATCAGGGCCAGGTCTGTATCAGATGCTTTTCCTTCCACAATAAATTCTCCATCCTCGGAGGCCTCTATGTAGTAACTTGCAGGGTTCAAATGAAGGTAATCGGGAGCTTTCCACACCTTCCTCAGGCATCTCCCGTTGTTCCTGCACAGGTGGAGGCTGCACGCCTCGGCGGCTCGGGTCACGTTGACTATGTAGCGCCCTAAAACAGAGCTCACAAACTGCTTCACCTTTGTACAGTTGCCCTAGAAATGTAGAAACAAATGGGTTTTAGTGTTTTTTCTGGTACTGATAGGGTTAGAGCATCTAGGCCCACAAGGCAGCTATTAGGACTTGATTGAAAGCTAAGGGCTTGGTTCCAGTTGGTGAACTCAGGCTCAGGCACTAAGACAAAGGGACCCCGATCAGGAAGAGTGAGCAGCTGAAGGGAGAGTAGATGGAGAGCCTGTTACAGGAGGGCTAAGCAACTGAGCTTACAAGTGGGTCCCAGAGTCAGCATATGTGACCTTGCCTTCTTCCAGTTTACATCCTCTTTTTTCTCCTTCTAGCTCCCAAGATAATGGGTGTGAAATAAAAGTGGAACAAATTAGTAATCATGCCAGAGCTGCTGTCCTCCAGCCACCTTTCAGACGTGTGGTACCCTTCACGGTTTTGTGAGAACCTGAATCGTCATGTTCTACCGATTTATTGTTGACACAACGTATAGCCTTCTGGATTTTCCTGGTACTTGTGCTCAATAGCTACTGCTCTGGGCTCTATCCTCTATGTAATTCAAACATAGGAAAGCCAGGAAGGCTGACCAGGTCATTATTTTTGTGGTTCCTATTATGTTCTAAACTGAGGCTACCTGGTTTGTACACTCGGCTTCCTGATGAAGCTCTTCTCATGTCACATGTGCTGGAAGGGAAATATCACACTGGAGAGTCAGGATTGATCCTCACAATTCCTACCTAAGTCTCACATGTGGACAGAGGAGACTTTTAACCTTATATTGTCACAAATAGTTACATGAATGATATCTCAGTAGCAACAAATTGAACCTGTGAAATTCTAAGAATAGTATTAGATCATCATGAACTTGCAAAAAGTTTCATTTAAATGAAGTGTTTAAGATACAAATATTATAATTCAAGGCAAACTGTATTACACTATAGAGATATAAACAAACAACATCTGGAAACACAGAAGAGATCGTGATTAATGCGGATTGGGGAAGACTTCTGAGTAAATAATATCTGAGCTGGGAGAAATTTCAGGAGACATATAAATCTTATTTTAAATGCTATTAATTTTTGGCTAATCACTCCATAGAAGAAAAATAAGTTCAATGTGGAGATTAAAAAGTCACCATCTGTTTCAACTTCTCAAAATAGGATATAACACATTTTATGTTGTGGTTAATACAAGGGCTCTAGAGTCAAAGTGTCTGTAATGTCAGCTCCATCACTAACTAGCCTAACTAGCTGTTACTCTGGATAGAGTTCCTTATCTATAAATGAGGAAGCTAGTCTCTACTTCCTAAGGGTTATTATGACCACTAAGTGAGTAAATCCAAAACAAGAAAGCACTTAGCACAATCCTAGCATATAGTGAATATTCAACAAATGTCAATATTATAATTACTCTCTTAACAAAAGTTAATAATATTTATGAGCTCCATCTATGCATCAGGCACTAATTTGAGCTTTTATTCTAAAGCAAGTTTAATGTGCAAGCCACGAGAGCTCTTATTACAGTGAGCTCTATAGGAAAACAGAGCAAATCCTTGGAATAATGTTAACTATACCTTCAAGGTACCAACTTACCTCAGATGAAGTTAAATTCATGTCTCCCCAAATAACAAAGCCTGCAGCTCCCAAGGCAGCGCTTTCTCCAATGGTACTGATTAGATCTTGCTAGATGAAGAGTAGAGTTTGTTACTCATTTGAATACAAAACAACCCACCAGAGACTAGGATTGGGGGCTGAGTTCAATATAATAGGATGAAACTACTCTCCACTTTCTTCGAGTAACGCAAATGTTGAATGAACTAAGGCTCAAAAATGACACTCTATAATCATGTGGAAAAAGTATTAAATATTTTTAAAGGAAAAGTTACATTTTGCGAAACAGGATATTATTCTGAAGACAATTAGCCTGTGAATAGCCACCAAAAGTTGTTTAATCGAAGCTTACTAGGGGCATATACACAAAGCAGCTATATGTATATGACTCAGAAACAGAATCCAATAGTTTAGGAATGCCTGGCCTTCCTCTTAGCTAAGTTCCTTTTCCAGTTTGCAACACCCCCCTGAGAACTTCACCTCTGCAGTGACTCGTGTCATTTGGATCCAAGGCCAGGCAAAGGAACACAGTGTTAAGAACTTACAGGCTCTCATTTGGTCCAACCCTTATATTTGGTCCCTGAAACTATTTGTCTTTCATTTTCAAAATACTTGACTTAATGGGGTTTATTTATGACTCATCGAGTCATGCTAAGGTTGCCGGAATTTTCTCCATATGGTTAAGATAGATGAAAACAAAATTTCAGCATGGGGAATTTTGGTTTTGTAATCCTAAAGGATTATTGTTTTAGTGTTTAAAGATTAACACGGATCTAAGCCATTTCAGAGGGAAATTAAGAGTTGAATGTATGCAGTTGGTTTCCTAAATTAGGTTCCTACAGGAGGTTTCCTAAATAAGTTTGTTAAATTATAATTTGTTTCCCCACTGTTTAGGACACTAAGCATTTACCTCTTATGCCAATGGTGAATTTCCATCAGTTATGTGCTGGAAAATGTAAGTGGGTGATTTGGTGGAAAATAAAAGCAGAACTTCTAAACTATATTTTGCCTGGGGCATTATATACTCAAATCAATACTTGAGAGAGAAATGTCCTTATCTAACACTTTTATAGTCCATTGAAATTAACGGTTTTACAATTTCCGTTTTTAAAGTCTTTTTTTCTGGGAGATTTTCAAAAAAAAGAGGAGATTTTGGGTTAAACTAATTTCCCTTTCAGGCTCACATCCATTTCCATTTCCCATGACCGCAATGTCTGCTGAACAGGTCAAAGCTGAGATGACAGGAAGGGAGGAGTTTTTGTGAGGCTCAAATGAGCTAGTGTAAGTGAAATGGTTTTGAAAATTATCCATGATACGATGCATTTGGGGCAGAGGAAGAGGCAGCCACGCAGTGCCTGGAACGAGGACTCTGCTGGGTCCAGGTCCACTGCCTCTTTTGGCAAAGACCTAAGGGAGCAGAGCTCCTCCCTCCACTTACTTTGAAACTTCCCTGAATACAGTGATGCCATAGTCACATGATGTGATCAGAAGGGCTGTAATACCCCAACGGCCTTCTATGAATTCCTATTACGTGTGTGTTACAGTTTTTTCAGCTGTCTCACAGTTCTTGGATATTCTGTTCCTGTGTTTTTTTCAGTCTTTGTTCTTTGCTCTTTGGAGCTTTCTATTGAGATATCCTGAAGCTCAGGGATTTTTTCCTCAGCCATGCGCAATCTCCTAACAAGCCCATCAAAGACATTCTTCTTTTCTGTTACGGTGTTTTTGATCTCTAATATTTCTTTTGGTCCTTTCTTAGCATTTCCATCTCTCTGCTTACGTTGTCCCCCTGTTCTTGCATGCATCTACTTTATCCGTTAGAGCTCTTAGCATATTCATCATAATTGTTTTAAATTCCCAGTCTGATAATTCCAACATCCTTGTCATATCTGAGTCTGGTTCTGAGGCTTGCTCTGTCTCTTCAAATTGTCTTATTACCTTTTAGTATGTCTTGTCATTTTTTTCTTGATAGCTAGACATGATTTAGTTTTCTTTTGATAAGCAGATAGCTCATCCTGGGTACAACCAGCTGCTATAAATAGCCCTTCAGCAATGAGCTAGTAAGATGCGGGGGCAACGGAAGGCTTCTGTAGGCCTATGAGTAGGCCTCAATCTTTTAGTGGGCCTGTGCCTCTGTACTATGAACTTCACAAGTGGTTTTCAGCTGTTTTTTTACCCCCACTCTGAGGTGGGACAGGCTGGCTAGAGGAGGCTAGAGTTGAGTATTTCTCTTCTCCCACCTGGAAGGCTAGAGCCACCTAGAGCTGAGTATTTCCCTTCTCCAAGTCAGTTAGGCTCTGATAAGACCCTAGCACGCTTAGCTCTGGTTAAACAGTTTCTCCTGAGGACAGACCTTGTTAAGAAGAACAGAATGCTCCAGAATATTCAAAATGGTTTCTTTCCCCCTCCCTCTGCCAGATGTAGGATGGAATTTTTCTCCCATATTTACTGCACAAACCTGGTAGAGATCCAGGAGGTAAAACTCACAAAAGTGCCCCTCCGCGCCCATCACTGGGTCCCCTGGAGTTTTCGTCTCTCAGACTTGTCCACACTGAGCCACCAGTAATTCATCAATTACAGTTCAGGTTTTCCTACTCGGGCACTGGTTCCCGCAGAGGTTTCTGCTCATGGGTTTCTGATCTGGTAAGTGGTGATTCTCTGTATTCACCGTCTGTCTCTACAATTTTGAGGGCAGCAATTTGCCCTGTGTCCTCACTTCTCTTGTGAGTCTAAGAAGAATCGATGTTTTCAGTTTGTTAACTTTTTACTTGTTAGGAAGAAGTGGGAACTTCCTAGTTTCTTATATGCCAGACTGGAAACCGGAAATCTCCCATCAATTCCTTTGGGTTAAGGCATTGTCATCAGAGGAAGGAGGGAGACATAGCATTTACATTTTGTATTTATAGGTTATTGATTATTAATCAGTTTTGATCAACATTTATAGGTTATTGAGGTTATTGATCTCATATTCAGTAAGTAAGGAAGCTACAGATGTTTGTGGTGAAAGCTATACATTCTAAGGTTGATATCAGGAGAGAATGTTAGTTTCTTCCCAATGTGTCCTTTAGTGTCATTATCAGAGAGAGTTTATTGAGACTGATTCAAAATTGCAAGTCTTCATGCGCCTGTTGACTGGAAGTGAGCAGGCAGCAGAAGATATTAATGCAAATTTCTCTACCAAATTAGCTTACTGTCCCTTAGCTGAGAGAGGGGTCCTGAATGAATCACAGAGCAGCCGTGTTTGGGGGACCGAAAAAGCAAGAGCACTAGTCAGTGAGGGAAGTCACAGGTAGGATGCCTCTGAGAGTAGATTGGGACCACCTGAGAGCATGAGCCACATGAATGATGTCGCATGAAAGGGGAAATAAAGGAACAGCGCATGAAGTAATGGCAACAAATCTCCCAGGTCCTAACACAGTATAGGACTGCCTTGCCCTACTTGTGATTTTCGGCTTGAATCAAGGTTTTGGAAGTAGAGGGTGGGGGCACCCAGAGGACTCATTCTCCACACTTGGGTTTCAGTCCCTAACACTTTTATCATAGTGCATGTAAGTAAGGTACCCACTGTGGGGAGCTGGAGCACCACTAATGAGCTCCCTTTGTGTGTTACCAGAGGGAACATTAATTAGTTATAGAGATAAACATCTTTAAATCTACAGTCAAGAAAACTCCTTTCATTATTTTTTAAAGCATAGCATCAAGTTGTATCTCAGTTGTATTTATGTATAGGTGGTAGGAATCTTCTGCATGGACTGGGGTGTTAATGCCCCCATATCACCTCCCAGGCGGTGGCTGCTGACTGAGATTCCATTCTTAGATATTCCCCTTTCAAGTTGAAGACTTTGACACCTGTTAAAAAGCGATAGCTATACTACCTATATTTTTGTAGTGCTTCAAATTTTCATATGTTTCCTCATTTGATTTTCATAATACTTCTGCTAGGCAGTTAGGGCAGGTAATACTTTCCCATTGTGTAGATTAAGTCAATGAGGTACTGAGGTTAAAAGATTTGCCACTATTGGTAAATTATTTTTCTAATCCTATTCATAAGTGTGTGTATACACACACACACACACACACACACACACACACATTCTAAAATGCAGATATCTTTGGGAAAGTCAGAAATGGAAGCCATTACTAGTCATTTACAGTTTGGTATAAATGAATATCAGGTTTTTAAAATTTTGTGGGCAGATTTTTATGGAGGATAGGGTAAAGGGGTGGGTAAACTGATGGTTCAAAACACTTGGAAATACCTTTTAATTCAGAAAGTTTTGGGATTATCAAAGAAAACTGTTTAGAGATGAGAAACCTGACTGTTGTTGCTTGTTCCCTTAGAACAGAAGCATCTCTGAGGTAGCTATTCAAGAAGGAAGCTTACCCTGGATTTGCAGAATGTTCAGAATGTAGCAGTAGCGTAAACTAATCTTTTGAAATGAACACTTTGTCCCTTAAAGTTTATTGTTTCTTCCAAAAGTAACTTTATTACCACTAAAGAAAGGAACTTGTGTGAGCCAAATATAGAAAAGGAAAAGAAATTTCACAGAAGAAAGTGGTATTTAACTTTCAATTTCAGAGTCAAGACTATTTTGTAAAGATTTAGATAATCCTTTAAAACCTTCCAGATAACGTTAACTATGTGTCATTCTCAATCATTTGTTGCTGAGTTTTCTAGGTAGTATGAATATCAGTTCACAAAAGAGACTCTTTTCTCTTACTCATCTCATTAAAGGCGTCAGAGGCACAGTATTCACCAAATCCCGATACTGCGTGTGTCATTTCTCCTTGAGTAAGCTCTACGCTCTACATGCTCCACAGATGCCTCCTGCTCACGGGAGAGCCCTCCCCTGAGTGCTTCTGAGCCTCCCCCTTTGGATGCCCAACACTCAGAACGTCTTTGTATTTTAATACATGCTGGTGAATTAAATTTTGTGATGGTGGAGAAAGAAGAAATGCCTCTGTTAAAATTTGACAAACCCTTGGCATCCAGTTACATCATAGAATACTACTGCTTCACAAATGTGAAAGTCTGAACAAGTCCCAAGTCTTCTCATCATAGAAAGTATACACATAATTATCCAAGTCCAAAGATTACAGCAGCAACTACTTTCCCTAGAAGTTTCCATTCAAGTGACAAGAGTAGCAAAGGGAGAAGAAAGGAGAGAAAATTGGGCTGAAATTTCATCTATTTTAAAAGTCACCCTTGTGGTGAGGTTTTTGACTACATAAACGACTGAAGTAAAATAAACGGATAGAATAAAACTTCTATTTGTAAGTTTTAACCTAGAGTTACAAAAACATCTACTAGTGATGAATTTCTTATTGAATTTAGAAACTCACACCACTCTTACCTACTTTCCATTTGTTGTGGTCATAGAGTCAAGAATAAACCAGATGGCTATATCTATAGATTTGCCAACTTTGAGCAGATTTGCAACTCACTTATACCTTTTTAAAAAACATCTAAAAATTTTTGAATTGTAGTATAAAACACATAACATAAAATTTACTCTTAACCATTTCTAAGCGTACAGCTCGGTAGTGTTAAGTATATTCACATGTTGTGCCTCCCTTACATCTTTTGTTAAGGCTGGCATCATGCATTAAAAGGAAAACAGTCTTTTTTCTCTTGACATTTTAGATGGTGGGGCCAGACAGAAACAGGGATGCCTTCAATTCCACGTCTACATGAGTAAGCCAACTATTCCATTTTAAAACATCCTCTCTGATTTTCCAACCTGTCTACCACCAACCATTCTAATAACCCTCCAAAGGCAGATTGTAAGGCAGTGGAATCCACGCTAGGAGGAGGAAGGAACAATTGCCGATTTGCACTTTAATCCCTTCCCCCTTATTGTGGTCCTTAAAAGAATAATAATGAAGAAGATAATCAAAATTCAGTTTCCATAGATGAAGAGTCTAAACGGATGACTAGTCAAAGGAAGAATTATGCTCCTATCTAACACCATTAAGATTGGGAAGTCTTCAAAGAATATAATTAACAAAGAAATGTCTCTTTCAGAGATAGGGAGGAAATCCCCCTATCTTTGGCAAGAGTTGTCTTACCTTAGAAAGAAAAAATAAAGGTTCGTCTCTGTAGCCTAGTCTTGTGTAGACAAATACAGGCAGAGCATAATCGTGGGATGTCATGGTGGAGATCCTCATGGATTCATGCACCCGAAATTGCGAGAAGCGCAAAATGTTTTCGCTGTCTCCAAGAGATTTCCTGACACCAATAGAAGGATATAAAGCAGCACTGCTGTTCCAGAGCCAAGAGAGCTCATTATTTCTCAAAACTTCCTCTTCTGGGCATGACCCAGTATAGTTTGGGTCATAAACATTATAATTGTGGCAATCAGGATATAAATAATAACCCCAAAGGCCCTTGGGTCGGCTCTTAATTCCCAATTCGATGGTTTCCTTCATAAAAGCTTTTGCACTTTCTTCAAAGGTTGCTTTAGCTAAATATTCAATATCAGTAGCTGATACATTCTCTTGCATATCAGAAATAAGCTTTCTTGACTTCTGTCTGTAGACATCTTTTGTGTTCCAGTTCCGGGCCCACTGGGGTCTCCAGTATTCCCAGTCTATGACAGCAAGTCCACTGAAATCTTCAGCAGGGATGTAGTAATTAATATCTTCGTCAGCTTTTTCTAGGTGTACTTGCAAACTTATGTTCTGGGGGAGACCCCCGTTAACAGGAACCCCCTGTGATGTATACCATGGATAGTAGCCCAATCTGTTGACATAAAATATAGTGACATTTTGCCCTCTAGCCTTGGCCAGTGGGCTTCCAATCACCTGAAACATTTTCAGATTTAGTCTTATATTATATTTTATCAAACACTGATCTGTTGGAGCATTCCATGCAGCTATAAAAGGTTTCCTTTGATAAATTGGAAGTCGGGCAGGTTTTAGAGAAGAGATAGACTTCAGAATGAAAAATATAAGCAGCCATGATGTGAGATGTATTGGTTGAACAACACAAAACCTGAATTGTCCTTCAGATAACAGTTTCATGATAAGAAAAAAGTCTTATCTTCTGTTTTAACACACTCTGGAAGACCTGTGAAGAGATTTAATTTTCTGTTAGTGATAATTTTGAAGAAAAAGACTCAAATATTGGATGGATATTACTATTGGTGTTATATAGCTATATTTTTAAAGTGCGTTTTATTTAAAGATCTTAAAGAGGCCTATAAATAAACAGAGATATAGATGCAGGTGTAGAGACCTAGCTTCTATTCAGGGGCAAGCAACGCAATTCAACACATATTTACTGAGCATCAGACCCTGTGTTCAGGATACAAGATGAGTAAGATGTGGTCCTTGCCCTCAAAAAGGCTCATGAGCAAATAAAGATGTAAAATAATATTCACTATCATTTTGGAGCACTCATCAAATCCCAGGCACTGTGCTTAAGTACTTTATAAATATTTATCTCATTTAATCTTGTAATAACTTTTTATTATTTCATTAAACAAGCCAAAAGGTCCAGATGCTTTCCCAGCCTTCCTTGTAGCTCGGGTGCTGCTATGTCGCCGTGGCCAGACAGTTAGGTGCATCCTATTCTACACTTTGAATCGAGATCTTGGGAATCAAAACGACTGAAAGGGGGTGGTGCCAGTGGTGACAAAAATTCCAGTGTCCAGGATAGGCAGTGCATGTGGGGGCATCCAGAACCTGACATCCATAGTGTTAATGTCAAGTGGCAGAATTGTCCTCATAGGACAGCACTTTTCTGCTCAAGTCAGTGAGGTTTTCTTTTGGTTGCTTACAACCAGGAACTCTGATTGACAGAGGTTCTTTCCACGGAACCTGCAGCTTGTGTTATTTCCTCCAGTGAAGCCAATCACTGTCAACTGTATGTTGCATGTAATTATCATTTTTAACCACCAGGTGTTACCAGCCAAACTTTATAGCGTTTCCCAGGCCTAAGACACTGAGGTAAGCAAAAATTTTAAATAATTTATAAAACATCATTCAAAGACATTTAAATCCTAAGTAAATGGATATACACAAAATGTCGATTTTTAAGAGCTATGAAGGTAGATATTTTCTTCCTCTGTTCATTGAATAAATATCTGTACTCTTTCACAACACAAAGATGAATAAGATCACTCCACTTAGTAACATGAAATATAATAAACTGAAGGTATAAATTATGGTTTGAAGAGAACAGTATTTTCAAAAGAATTTAATTTTATAAGTACAAAAAGAGTTGTGGTCCTCAATATGGCCCCATATCTTTGATCATTTTATTATATTCTGCCTCAGGGTAAGAAAAATAGATTTGGATATGTGATCATTAATAGGAAAAAGAAAAGCTCTTCTTTTCATATTAGAGAAGGCTGTATATATGTACAAAAAAAAATCTATTCTACCAGAACACTTCCTGCTTTCAGTTTTATTCAAAACATAGCTTTCCACTGATTATTGTTTCTTCTTTGGTCAGCCCCCTCATCATTGCCACAGAATAGCTTCATTCATTTATTACAAAGTTACCAAGTGATTCTTTTCTCCTATCCCAGAACATTATTATTTTCCTGATTCCAGTTAATGGAAGGTACACATTGCACGGCGGGTGGCAGGCAGAGCTCCTGATAAAACGTATGGATACACAACAAATGCAGGCAAAATAAATAAATAAAATTTGGTGCCTATGTCTTCTGTTTGCTGTGCGTCTCAGGTTTCTGCTTCCCACACAGGCAGCACCCTCTGTCATGCTGCTAATTAAACATGGCTTGCTAGGAGGAGATCCCTTCACTGGGCACCTCCCAGACACTTTTCAGTCCCCTGCCCCCATCAGGCAATCATTAGCTGTCTGCTTCTCCCACCCTCCTTCCTTTGCCAGGGAGCCTCCCAGGCCTGCCCTTTCCAAAAGTGCCCTTTGCTTCTGAATTCCTCTAGACTCCTTTCCCTCACCCCACCCACGCCACCAAAATCCCCATTCCTGGGCTCTACTTGTATCTCAACTAGCTGTTAGAGCCTCGCAACCTGTGCAGTTATCCACACTCAACCATGAGTCACCAACAGCAAACTTCCTTATCTTTCTCCCTTGCCCCTCTCATAATCTTCCTGGGAAGGTTTGCTCCTTTAAACAAATCTCTACTTGATGGAACTTTGGGAAGAATTCTCACGCTACTGAGGGTAGAGATGAGTGGGGAGTTTAACTTGGACTTCTCCGCTAAATTTTATCAGCCAATTTTCTCTTCTTAGGAGTAAGGTTTGTTCCGGGGACACATATGAAACACTAGTTCTCTTCCTTCAACAGGGAAACTTCTGGGATGACATTTTGAAGGCTCCTGGACGAATGATTTCCAGCAAAGTGAAACATCTGTGAAAGGCAGAGGGTAAATGGAAGGAGCTTTCTCCTCAGATGCCTCCCCTGGTGGAAGGAAGAGCCACAGTGAGGAAGGTGTGGCTGCTACTGCTTTGACCTTGGCTTCACAGTTCTGACCTTCTTAACCCACTGAGAGGGGAAGGTGACAAAAACAATAGAGAGGGCGGACTGCCTTTTATCAAGCAGGCCTCGTACCTCACCTTGTTCCAGTTCCCTGGTTCTGACAGTGAAGGACCATGAAGGAATGGGGTCCTCTTTGAGGAGAGAGGCCTGCCCTGTACAGATACGAGAGTCTGCAGAGAAGGCTCTGCCCCCTGCTTATTCCTCTTTCCTCTCTCCCTCCTTCCCCACAAAAGCTTACCTGCTCATGATAAATTTTTAAAAAAGCAACCCCCACATTTCAGAAGCTGGCCATACTCACAGCTGGGCCAAAGTATTCTCCTCTTAGAATAAACAATCTCACAAAATACCAACCTCAAACAAATTTACTCTCAGACCGCAATAGGATGAAACAGAGCATGACTACATTCTCATCTTGTCTAAGTACAGATAAGAACAAGGTCATTGTGCAACCCACAAAATACCGAACATCCCTCTCTCTTGCTGTATGAATGACTGTCATTCTTTACCCAATCAAAGGAATGCCCCTGCTTTCTGACAACATCCAATCTAGAGAAAATTCCCATTTTCTTAGACCTCTGCCAAATCACCCAACTAATACCTAAATTTTATAACAGGTTCTTTCTGATCCCTTCGTGCTGAGACATCCCACAGTTCCCCAGGGAGTACATTTTCCCTGGCTACAACAAGTAATCAACCCAATTCATTTAACTGCAGGTGTGTTGCTCGTGGTCTTTGGGGCACTGATGACTGTGTGAAGGCAGAGGTACTTAGTGTGCAGGAAATTTTTATTGAGCACCTTCTATGTACTAGGCTCCTGTTCCAAGTACTAGGAATACAATAAACAGAACAGACAAAAACGCTGCCTTCACAGAGCTTAAATTCTTGCAGAGGGAGACAGACAATAAACAAGATGAGTAAATAAAACATATAGTACATTGGAAGGTGGTAATAGCAAAGAAAACAAATAAAGCAAGGATTCATTTGAAAGAGGAAGTCCTCAGTGAACCGAAGGAGGAGTGGAGAGAGCCTGGAGGATGTCTGGGGAAGCATGGGGGAAAAGCAGGAGCAAAGGGCCTGAGGCAGGAGCGTGCCTGCCAGGTTTGAGGAGCTTCAAAGGGTCCAGTGACTAAGTAAAAGGGACAGAGAGGTAAGAGAGGGTCTTGTAGGGCCTTGTTGGGACTCTGGCTTTCACTCTAAGTGAGATGGGAAAGAATTAGAGAGTTTTGAGAGAAGAATGATATGGTCTGACTTGGGCTTAACTGGATTCCTCCGGCTGCTGTGTGGAGGCAAACCTGGAAAGGAAAGGGCACAAGAGAGAAGCAGCCGGAAGCCTGGAGGGAGGCTCTTCCAATAATCCAGGTTCAGAGACAAGAGCAGTGCAATCCAGTTATTTAGAGGAACTGCACAGTATTTTTAACAATCGCTGCACAGAAAAATAATAACACTATAAATGAGTAAGTTAATCCTGCTAGTTTTGCTTTAATTTTTTTTTTTTTTTTGAGGAAGATTGTCCCTGAGCTAACCACTGTGGCACTCTTCCTCTATTTTGTATGTGGGACACCACCACAGCATGGCTCAACGAGCTGTGTGTAGGTCTGTGCCGGGTATCTGAACCTGCGAACCCCGGCTGCCAAAGCACAGCGTGTGAACGTAACCACTATGCCATCGGGCCTGCCCCAGATTTGCTTTGACTTTGATTGTCACTCTAACTTTCTGTTCTCATACACTGAACATCGTTTTTCTTTCACATGGCATGATGATCCACATTGGTCTTTAACATTAGAGGGAATGCTCTGGGAAGGCTTTTAAAAATATACACACACACAGCCCTCTTCATATTAACGTATTTGTGGAAGGAATTAATTTTCCTAAAGTACAATTCTTCTGGGGTTTTCTTTTATGATCTTAGGATTTTGTTTTCAAAACTTTTAAGATGGCAAGTGTCTACCCCTAAATCCATAAGGGTTTAAAAAGTTATCCTGAAGGTCATGATCTCCGTTTTTACTGAAATTAAAAATGCGATGTTTTATTTCCAACCCTTAAGGAAAATACTGACAGGAGTGATATTTTGTTGCCAGTAAAAAAAATACGTAAATATTTATCAGAATGGAAGACAGAGCGGAGCCACTGAGTTCAGAGCTGCGTCCTCCGCTCTGCAGAGCTGATTGCTAGCCTGCTTTCTAACAATAGCTTAGGAGAGCAAAAGCAGATAATAGGCTTCCTTTTTTTTCTCTGAAGGACATTACTGCCTTAGTCTGATTGTAATCAATGTCCTATCCTGATGGTTCTTACATTCTTCTCTCTTGGAATATCAATACCGTAAAAGCTAGCTCTAAGCGTTCCAGCAGAAGAAAAAATGTATTTTAATGGATAGAGTTTTCTCAATTAAGTTTTTCCCATACATTTTTCTTAAAAACTCGGTGCCTATTGGTTTACAATATAATCTACTATGTGATAATTTCTTTAAGCCCCACAATGCATCATTAGGTACTGAATTTTATTATAACTCTATTTCATGTCATTATCAGAGAACACTGGTGTCCCTCCGTCTGAACAGCTTTTAGAACTACTGTGTTATCTTCAGTGTGCAAAACTGCTT